CAGTTTCCCCCCTCCCCAACAGGGACCTCACCTTGACCTTTGAAGTCAAGGGAAACAAACTCTGCTGAGAAGCAGCCTGCCTCTCCTCTGATCTCCAAAGATAAGATAAGCAGATTCTACCTGTTAACCAGAGATTTTAGAAGCTGTTTTTCTCTCAGCTTAAGAGGGAAAAAGTAAACACTTCCAGACCCTAATCCCACCTGGCAGACTGAAGGGAGCCAGGCTTTTCCTGCTTCCCCTTCCCTGATTTCTCCCCCAAACATTTCCCCCTTCCACACCCTAAAGACCCCATATATAAAGTCCCAGCTCACAACCCATGGGCGGACATCTTTCCCTGACATCTTTCCCTTCCCCGAGGGAAAGGTGCCCCATGCGAAATAAATCTGTATCCCGCCGAGAATTCCATCTGAGCCTTGGTGCCTCCTCCATCTGCGCTGCTTGCTCCCTCCTGCTCTCTACCTATCACATTCCGTATGTATTCACATACGTTCTACAGCACTCATCAAATTCTATCTCATCATGGGAAAACAAGACCTTACTTTGGAGGCTAAACCTAGAGAGACATTTTCTCTCTCCTTTTTTAACAAACCAATGATAAGACAGCACTTAGAGATTACAGATTTTAAGAAGTATAAAATGACAACATAGAAAAAGAAACTACATTCTTCACACACGTCAGAAGTGCTGCACCTCAAGTCAGGGCCTGTGCTTCCAGTCTACCTAGCATGGTGCAGCAATCATTGGCTGCCCTCTACATTTTCTTTAAATGGTTAAGAGCAACTTTCTTGAATTTATTTTTATTTACTTTTATTTGATGTGTATGAGTGCCTTGCCTACATGTATGTAAGCTCACTACGTGCATGCAACATCCGTGGAGTTCAGAAGAGGACATCTATAACTGCAGTTACAGATGGTTGTTAGCTGCCATGTGGGCACTGAGAACCAAACCCAGGTCCTCTGCAGGACCAGCCAGTGTTCTTAATCACTGAGCCATCTCTCCAGCCCCCAAACTCCTCCCCTGCCCTCACATTATTATTTTGTTTTTATTATTATTATTATTATTATTATTATTATTGTCTTTTTTGGGGTCTCCCTATAGCCCCAGCTGGCCTGGAACTCGCTATGTAGACCATGCTGGCCTTGAATGCACAACAATCCGCCTGCCTCTGCCTCCTGAATGCTGGTATTAAAGGCGTGCACCACCATGCCCAGCGTTTTTTTTTGTTTTTTGAGACAGGGTCTCACTACGTAGACCTCGTTGACTTACCTAAAACTCACTTTATAGACCTGGCTGGCCTCAAACTCACAGATCTACTTACTTGCTTTCTGCCTTCCCAACGCCCAAGAACTGCTGAGACTGAAGGTGTGGGCCACCACACCCTGTTTTAAAATCAACTTTTCAGATAAACTTCTACCCTAAGGGGAGAGCTATCCTTTCCCTTAGATTACACTATTGTAAAGAAAAATGCCAACTATAATAATACTCAATAGCTGAGAATGTCTGAAAGTCAAGCATCAACATTTACAGTATGCACTTGAGGTGGTCGGTGATGCACTGTGAGCTGAGGTCCTGCTGATCCCAGGGTCAGTCCATTGTTTACAACATATGTGGTTGTTTGAGGCACTCGAACTGTAACACCTACAAAAGAAAATTAAAGGACAATATCAAAATCCCACTGTATACTTGTTGGGAGGAATTAATTAAACACTATTAAGACAATTTTTTTTAAATCCAAAAGGAAAAACAATTGTACCTTACAAGTCTATAGTCCCCAAACTAGCATTTAGGCAAAATCATAAATTTGCTGGGGTGGTGGGGCACACCTTTAATCCCAACATCCAGGAAGCAAAGGTAGATCTCTATGAGATCAAGGCCAACCTGGTCTACATAGCAAGTTCCAGGTCAGCTGGGGCTACAGGGAAACTAGGTCTGAAAAAGCCTTAAAAAAAAAAAAAAAAAAGGAAATCATAAAGTCAGACACTCAACAAAAAAAAAACCTAGCTTCCATGAACCCTTTCTCAAGTAAGGCTGCATGCTGCATGCAACAACATGAGAAAAACATTAGACCCCAGAACAGTACAGAAGGACACATTATATATCTCTATACCAGGATGATGAGAGAAGAGGTGGGGAGGGGGACGGGGACAGGGGGACGACACGACACACTACAAAATATGAATACTGGCTGTGCAGTCCACATAGAAGGAAAAAAGGCCAAAATGAACATAGCATGACTAAAGATAGACAGGGTGAAGATGCCTTTATAATCACTATTGCCTCTCATTTTCAACCAGAGAGATGGCTCAGTGGCTAAGAGTGCCTGCTGCATTTCTGAAGGACCCAAGTTCACATCCCAGAACCTGGCAGCTCACAACCACCTGTAACTCCAGCTCCAGAAGTTCACAACTAAATTCTGGCCTCTGAAGGCACACATCCACACATGGCACCAAATGTGTGGCACACATGCGTGCATGTACACACACACACACACACATACACACACACACACACATCCCAGCAGGTGGATCTCTGTAAGATGATAGGCAGCCTGGTCTACATAGCCAGTTCCAGACCAGCTGGGGCTATAGGGAGACCCTGTCTCAAAAAGACCAAAAAAATTCAACACAACAACAAAACCCAAAAAAACCTATAAAAAGTCATCTGTCTTATGTCGAGGAGGGTCTTTCTTCACTTTCTCTCCATGTGGTCTGAACACACAGCAATGGTGACAGCATGCTCAAGACCTGCATAAGCTCAAATCTGACATAATCCCAGCATAAGGGTGGGGAAGTGGGAAAGAAGCCCCAACGCTAGCTGAGGAACTATTGGCAACCAACAGCTTTTGGGAGAGGCAGAGTCAGTTTTCTTTAAGGGTGTGACACTGGGTAGATTAACCAGGCTTCAGTGGACAGACCTACACCAACCAAAGGACATTTGTGGACATAGATTTGACCCAATAGGCCTTAAAAAATAAACATGATGAGAGTACACGAAATCAGGCAGGGGTAGCAAGGTGAGGTGCAGACAAGGGAGGGAGTCTAAACATGCTCAAAACACATTGAATGAAATTCTAAAATACTCATTAAAAAAAAACTACAGACCCACATCAAATAATAAATTTAATCAATAAATTTAAACTGAAGACAAAATACAAAATCATAGTATATATGTCTAACTTCTCTATTTAAATTGTAAGGGTGTCTGCATGTGATGCATGTGATGGTGCATGCCTTTAATCCTAGTACTTGAAGGACAGGGCAGGCAGATCTTTGTAAATTCAAGGCCAGTTTAGTCTACACAGCAAGCTCCAGGTCAGCCAAAGCTACATAGTGAGACCCTGTCTTAAAACAAATTGGAAACAAAAGCAAACAAAAAAAAGTAAGTGAAGAAAAATGAATAAATAATAGGAGGAACTTTTTTTTTTTGTAGTTGTTTACCTTTTGTTTTGTTTTCAGTCAGGGTCTCACTATGTAGTCTTGGCCAGCCAAGAACTCACTATGTAGACCAGCCTGCCTCCAACTCAAAGATCAACCTCCCTCTGCCCCTCAAGCATGTAACAGGAGTTTTTAAAAATCAGTTTGTAATTGGAAAAAAACACTGTTTATGATGTTTTGAAACATGTACACATTGTAAACTGGCTAAATCAAGCTAAATTAGTATGTGTATAACCTCACATACTTAAAAATTTTTTGTGGGGAGAACACTTAAAATCTACTCTATCAGCAATTTTCAAGTCTGCAATACATTATTATTAACTGTACCATGCAAGCATGTTGTACAATATATCTCTTAAACTTGTAGTAGCAATTTTGATAATCTGATATCAGTATAAGCACCCTTCTCCCCAGTGTTCAAGTGCATGTACTTCAAAGCCATAAATAAGAAATGGGTCTCTTACTATTTTGAGGATTGACCTGGCGAACGGCAGGAGCCTGCATAACAGTTCCTCGCAGGGGAGCCTGAGCTGGTGGTGCTGGGAGAGTTGTATAAACCACTTGGTGGTTTGCAGGAGCTCTTGGTATAGGAAGTCTTGTGGTCACCTGAGTTACTGGACGATGTGTTACATTCACGGTAGTTGGAGCTAGTGGGAGCCAAGCAAAAGATACCAAGAACGTAGTAAATACTATGTGCAAAGACAGCATGAAATAGTAATCCCCTTTACATAAAATGTAGCTTTAACCAAAAAAAAAAAAAAAAAAGAAAAGAAAAGAAAAAAAATGGGGAGAGTGTTTGCAAATAATAAACAGATGGTTAGCATTGGAAATAATAGAATATGACCCCCTTTAAAAAAAAAGAGCATTTAAAAAAAAAAAAAAAAAAAGAAAAGAAAAGTAAAAAAGCAAGTGTCAGCAGCATGTGCAGGTCCCAAGCCCTGGCACGCTTGCTCAAATTCTTCAGCTCAAATGACATCTCCCTGCTTCATGAGTCTGTATGAGTGGGCTGACTTTGGCAAAGGGACAGACAGATCAGGCCACTGTCCAGCATATAAAACCCAGGTTTCATTTCTCGTCTGTCATCCAATACCTAGCCAGACTCAGCTAGCAACTTGGCTGCCTGAAGAGGGACAAACAAATTAGCATAGTTCAAAGAATAGGCCTTTTACAGCACCTGAATAAGTAAGTTTTATGACCCTGGATCAGAAAAAAAGGCATTGTGTGGGTCTGTATGGCAGGCTTGGTTTATGGGACCCACTTTGGTTTCTGCAGTACATGTACCACTCAGACTGTACAGATGACTGACTGAGGTCTTCCTGTGCATGCCTCCTGCATGGAGCATGCCTCCTGTCTGTGGCCAGCTGCAAGGCTGCTCTCACCTTTGAGACTGATGGATGGGTTCTCCTGTCTGACTTAAGTTAACCATCACTTTTTGGGGTGGTACTGAACTTCAGTCACTGAGTTCCAAAGAGCTAGGGATTAGGAATTGAGATCATGCACAAAAGTGTCTTAGAACTTTCTGGGTGACTGCAGATGTTGTGGAAAATATATAGTGTTTTAGAAACTTAGAAGCAGGTAGTATTTTTCTGCCCAATGTTTAAAACTATAACTTTATTTAGATCCTGTTATTGCTCCTATACATAAGAATTATATAGGGTGTTACAGCAGCTGTATATTTTTAAATTGTGTGATGAAGATTAGGAAAAAGATGGTTATTTATTTATCTATGTACTTATTTATTAGAGACTGCATTTTTTAATACTGGCACAAAAGGCCATTAAAATTTTTTACAATTATTAATTAATTAATTTTGTGCATGTGTAAAGGTTAGAGGATAATTTTTAAGAGTTGGTTCTCTCTTTCCACCATGTGGGGGAACCAAACTCAGATTGCTAGGCTTGGTTGCAAGTGACTTTACCAATGAGCCATCTTACTGGTCCACAAAAAAAGTAGTTTTAAGCTTGTTTGTACACTTCTTTTTTTCGCCACTGGAAATGTAATTCATTACCTTAGGTCTTTTTAAATACTGTACTATTATTATTGGTGCTGGCTCTATGTTTGAAAACCAGTTTACTTCTAAGCTACTGTAAGTGGTATATTCTATTTGAAGTTAAGAAATGAACCAACCATAACTTCAGTTCTAGGGGATCCAATACCTTCTTCTGATCTCTTTGGGCACTGTACCACATAGGTACACTTACGCACATGCAGGGAATAAAAAATAGAATAGAATAGAAAAAAAACAGAAGAAATGAATTCAAAGTATTTTTCTAGCTCATGAGATGCATCAGACATTTTTTCTATTACACACAACTGGCTCATGCCTATAATCCCAGCACTCAGAATACTGAGACAAGAGGATCATTGTGTATTTGAGCCCAGCCTGGGCTACATATGTGAGTTTCATAACATTCTGGGCTCAAAAAGAAAAAGACAAACAAAAAACTATGTAAATAAAGATAAACAACAAAAAAGACAGTAATGTGTTACGAAACCAACTCTAGCAAAGTAGGCTTAATATTAATATTCTATGAATACCTTTTCCTAGTGTTCTAAGTTTTATTGGATAAAACCATCTTAACTCAGTGTTTTCCTTAGTTGGAAGCGTGCTCATGTAAGCATTTTACAGTTAAATCTCTAAGCAATAATCTAACGTGCAAGAAGCCATATTGTCTTGACTGACTTTTAAACTGATTTACAGTTCCTTGAAATACAGCAAGTAAAATATTAGCATTTCTTCCTGATGATGTGGTAGACTAGGTAAAACTAGCTCAAGATTCATTTTGAAGTTCTTGTTTGAGCTGGGTCTGGTGGCATAGGTTTACTAATCAGTCTCTGATACTCTGGAGGCTGATACAGAGGCTCACAGGGTCAAATTCAGCCTAGGTAACTTACTAATAAGAATAAAAGGAGGGCTGGGGGTGCAGCTTAGTGGCAGACTGCTGACTTAGGATTCCTGAGGCCCAGGGTTCAATCCCAAGTACAAAAGAGAGAAAGAGAATCTTTGTTTGATCAGTCACTTAAAATTCCTTGGTCATACTCAGAACAAAATCATTATAACTAGCTTTTCCAAAGAACTTAATCATTTCTGCTCTTCAGAGTAGCTAATGACAATCACATTGACAATATTATTTATAATCATTCTCTACCCATGCTGCTACTTAAGACAGTGAGCAAAGCTAAGTAATAGTGCATTCAAAACATAAACCTCTTGAAAGTAACAATGAGGATCATTCTTAATATTCTGCCCAATCTTCCCACTCAATTCCACACTCAGTACTCTGCAGACTACTAACATGCCCATTCCAATGACTCAGCAACTTTACCTGTAGGTAGTAAGTGTATGGTTGTCTGAGATGGCCCACTGGTCGGCACCCCAGACGGCTGCAGGGGTGGTGCTGGTTGAATGGGCTGCAAAGGTCGGGGCAGGAGCTGCGAAGTGCTTGTGGTTGACACAGAAGTATGACTTGGTTTTTTGGGTTCTGTTAAAAAAGTGACACAATTAACGAGAAAAAAAGAAAATCAGGAAACAGGCCTTGTACTGGAGATTTTTGTTGGACTTGAATACCTATTTCTCTCTCCAGGAACACCTTCCTTCTTTTTCCATTATGGGTATTTTTGCTGATTTGAAAACCAAGTCAGGAGTTCTTTAAATAATTCACTAGTATTTCTTTTTTTTTTTTTCGGTCAGGGTAAGAAACAGTTTGAAAAACTACTGTTTTATTTTAAGTTTCATTTATTTATTTATTTATTTATTTATTTATATTGTCTTAAACTTTTATCATATTTATTTATTATTTATGTATGTATGTGGATGTGGTGTATGTGTGCCACAGCATGTGTGTGGAGGTCAGAAGAAAAGACCTTCCCCTTCCACCATGTGAGTCCTAGGGACCAAACTCAGGTCATCTTTCACTAGTATTTCTAAAACAGATTCCAATTTGAATTTACAGGAATTCAGTTTTATTTTTCAATGCAAGACTCTTATTTCTGGATTCAGTGAATCAACTTGAGGAACTTGACAGCACGAATGTGTGTACATGTATTTATACACCCAAATCAAAGAGATTTTCCTCGATAAATACTATAAATTGATGAGTTTTTCAATTAAATGGAGTTGTTTAGAGTTTTATATCAATGGCTGCACATCATCACTACTCATTTTTTAAACTATGTTGGCTGTCTAGTCAGAGTTTGTAATAGCTTATAAAAAAGATTTTATACTTCAGACTATCTCCTAAAATTAGAAAAGCCCTTGAAAGCCATACTATGAAGAAAATAAGTCAAAATATTTTCTATCTAAAATAATCCTCATCTATTTCTGCCCCATGAAATTCATCATTAAAATATAAGTAAAATTTAAGGCTTTAGCAATGGATGGTTTCAGTGCTGAACAGTTTACTTTAGAAGGGAGAAGTATGAAACAGCCAAGGTGGGGCAAGGAGATGCCCAGGAAATATGCATGAACTGGCCACGAGCTGAAAGCCCGCTCTGCTTATGCAGCATGTTGTCTAGAATCAGCCCGACCTTCTGTTCTCTAAGAATCCCTTATAGTCAAATCAATCTTTAAAAAAGGAAACAAAAACCAATAAAAATAATTGGAAACTCTTAAAAGAATAATCATACTGCTACAGGCTCAATGTTGATGAAAGACGGAATCAATTTCCCAACTGTGCTTCAGTTTTGTACAGTTTTATACACCATACAGAATCAACTGAACATCTATTTTTTTCTCCCAAATCAACTTTAAAATATGACTTTTTAAAAAATGTACATGAGTATTTTGCCTGCATGTACGTATGTTAAGTATACCCATGCATACGATGCCCTCAGAGGCCAGAAGAGGGCATCATAACCCCTGGAACTGGAATTACAGGCAGTTATTAGTCACCTTGTGGGGGCTAGGGACCAAAGCTGGGTCCTCTGCAGGAACAGCTAGTGCTCTCCAGTCCCCAAAAGAATTTTTAAATGTTTAAGTTTAATTAATGACTTCAAGGTAAAAACAATTAGCATTTGACTCTTCTAGATTTTCCAAATACATTCATTATCATCACTATTTTACAAATATCTGTGAACAAAGTCATTTTGTACAATCAAATAAGTATGAGAAACACTTTATATTTTGAATGGTAATGAGATTTACATTATAAATTAGCATAGTAAAGACTAGATTAGTTTACATTAAGGAAAAAAACAGTGAATTTTAATTCAGAACTTACCAAGCAGATTTAATCAAACACTTTATTCATGTAACACCTGTTACACTGCATAAGAATAACTGGGACTATGACCTAGTATTTATCAAATTTAATTTCTGAATATTGAAACTCAGAATATTATTGAAGGCTGGATGTGAATGATTTGAAAAATTATTTCAATTCTTACTCATATCAGCACTAAAGGAAAGCAATCAATCCAAATGATCAAAATGGACATACACTTAAAAATATCTACAGAAGAGAAAGGGGAAGGAGATACATAGAAGCATGCAAAGCAGAGTCCAAAGACCTCGATTAGATTCCCCATCTCTTTCTAACTCTGATGGATTCTAGGCAATTCCTTCAGCTCTGAAACGAAGATAAGTTCTATGAGAGTAACTGAAACTGTAGACACAGGAGCTCCACAAGCTTACTATTCTAGCTGCTGCTTTCCTCCACGTTCACAGTCATTTGGGGCTTGATTTCTATTTTTTAATTCTAATTTTAAGATCTTTCATTCTATATACATCAACAGTCTTCACAGAATATTGAAGTACTAAGGGGAAATGCCATAAAAGCATTCCCTTGTAGTATTAATAATTAAGTACCTTGCGAAGCTCCGCTCTCCTCATCATCCATTGTGAGGTCAATGACACCACCCGAGTCACTGCTAGTGGCTTTTCCACTCTGAAAAACAAAGGAAATGGTGGGTAGTAAGGAAAAATGCAATACTGGTGAGGGAGAAGGATGACTGGCCTAGTTCAGTCTGCATTTAGGAAATTATGAGTTCAAAGCAACTATGAAAAATGGATTCAAAGAATTAAAGGAAAGCATGATACTAGTGATTATACAAATAGGAAATCCCAAAGGAAAAGCAGAAATATCTATTAAGAGCTTAATATTTAGCTGTACTGCTTATCTGTTACCTGGGAAAGACAATTTCTGTTCCATACATTTATTAAGATTAATGAATATAAGCTGTTCCTTCCAATATGTCAGTTATACAGTACAATGTAAATTAGGTATTTCAGATTCTGAAAACTGAAACACAGAGGAAGACTTAATGTTTTTTTTTTCCACAGTAAGCAACTGGGTATCACTGAATTTTGGATTTTCTTTTCCTTGAGTAAAAGCATAGGAAGCTTTTATATCCAATTTAATCCAACTTAAATGTGTGTTATACAAATTGCATTTAGGCAAAAACTCTAGACAGTGCAGTTTAACAGATTATTTTGCAACAATGAAAAAAAATATTCTGTATCTGTACTGTCCAATGTGACAGTGATTAGCCATAAGTGGCTACTGAGGCTTAAAATTAGCTTATTTTAGCTGAGAAACTGAATTAGGAGGTTTTTTGTTTGTTTGTTTGCTTGGAGACAAGGTCTCCCTATAGCCCCAGCTGGACTAGAACTTGATCTATAGATGAGGATGGCCTCAATCTAAAAGAGACCTCTGTCTTCTGAATGCTGAGATTAAAGATGTACACACTACACCACACCCAAAAAACCCAGAATTTTTAATTTAACTTGAATTTAAAACTCAGCAAGTGATTAGGAACCAACACTTTATAAAATAATGAAATGCAGTCATAATGGTCATCTTTTTTTTTAAATTTTATGTGTATGAGTGTATTGCCTGCATGTATGTGAGTGCACCCATGTCGTGCAATGCCGCAGGTCAGAAGAGGGCTTCGGATTCCCCTGGAACTGGAGTTAAGGACGGTTTGTGGTCACCATGTGGTGCTGGGAATCAAACCCGAGTCCTCTGCAAGGGCAGTCAGTGCTCTTAACTGCTGAGCCATCTCTCCAGCCCCAGTGGTCATCTTCTTGAAGCGAAAATGTGACTTGGCTTGTTAAAAAGGAAACAAAATAAAGGAAATAGCTCCTGAAGGGAATAACAATGTTTATAAATTCTTTGTTTCATTTCAGGTTGTCTTGATAAAACACAGTAAGACTGCTTAAAGACTTTATTTAAAGATGACTAAATGAGTTTGAACCTCAGTATCAGAAAATATTAATTAATAATTTCCTGAATGTAGTAGGCTTGCATCTGTACCCCCAGGTACTCAAGAAACTGAGGCAGGAAGATCACTTGAGCCCAGAGTTCAAGACCTATCTTATCTGCTCAGCGTAGTGAACACCACACATACCGATTCCTGTTGCAGAAAAATAAAAAAATTCATAGAACATTATTTTCTATTGTACTCCGTCTAGAAACGTATCTCATTTAATTTTATTTATCACAGACAAAAATTACTAAACTTTGTGAGAAATAAAATATTTTAAGAACATTTTTCTGATCTATAAATATGTTGTTTATCTGGTTTGGGTTAAAAATCCATCACATTTAAAGGAAAATAGTCATGACTAAAGACTTCTTTTCATTTCATTATCTGGGTGTGGCAGCTCACCCTGTACTCCCAGTACTCAGGGAACTAAGGTGGGAGGATCACAAGCTCAAGGACCACACAGTAACTTCTAGACTAGTCTTAGATACTAATGAAACTCAGTGTCAAAGAAGCCCAAAGGAATGAAGGAATATGCCATCTACCTTTTCTTTTTTCAAATATTGTATTATTTTTATTTTGTATGTATAAGTGCACCTGTGTCATACAATGCGCATAGAAGCCAGAAGGGGGCACTGGATCCCCTCTGGCGTTACAGATGGTTGTTAGCTGCCATGTGGGTGTTGGGAATCGAACCTGGGTCCTCTACAAGAGCAACTGGTGCTCTTAACTGTTGAGCCATGTTTCCAGTCCCCAGTTACCTTTTCTTAATATGCTCAAGACTAGGAATGAGTTTCTTGACACAATTAGAAGGAAAGAAAATAAAACCACCAATAACCTAACAACTTCACTACAAATCTACTATGCCTGCAGCAATGCAGAAGAGTCAAGAAAAACACCACTAACAGAAGAAAGAAGTAGTTACTCCATCACCTTGAGGTTAAGCGTTACTGTGGAAAAGCACAACACTGGCAAAGCCCAATATGCCCTCAGAAAGATAAGGACTTTCCTCTCTAAAAGACTGCTTTGGAAGAACCTAAAATGCTGTGTGGCACGAGCAGAGAAGAATGACAGAAGAGAAGGATAATCCAGCCAGTACCCCTCAAAAAGAAATTATCAGTGGCAAAGATCGAATCATTATTATAGTGTGTGACAGCAAAGAGACAGGACTGTCAACTTAAGATTCAACCAGTTAGGAATAAACTACCATTACTTCTTAGAGAATTCCCGGGGGGAAGAAACTCAATTCTTAGCAAACATTATAGAGAAGCTATGAGACAACTGTGAAAAAGCATAGATTAATTTTCATGGAATCAGAATACTGATGGAAATCCATTCTTCTGTGGTCTACAATTAGAATTTTACTTTGAAGTAAAATGGAAAAAAAATCTTACCTGTGATGTGCTATCTGCTGCTTTCTTATTAACAGAAGAATCTACTGTTTTGTTTGTCTGGTTTTCTGAGAATTAAGAAAAAAAGACATTTTTTTAAAAAACATCTACAACAGGTTAAAGGTGAGGTTGATTTATACACAATATTCTATGTAATCTACTATTTTTCTGTGAACATGTCAGGCATGCAAAAATGGCTTCTCTCACAGATCTCTGTGGTGTCTTTCAGAAAGGCAAGTTCATATTATAAATCTTTTAAATTTCACACACTCACTATTCTAGCAAGTTAAACTCTATCCCAAGGAATACCTGGTAAATATAATTTCAGGTTTATATAATTTGAATGCTCCAATAAGAGAGAAGAGTTAAGGACAATTTAATTTTTCTACACTATGTATCTTTGGGGGAAAATGTTTACGATTTGATATCTAAAGTGTTTATAACAAATTCAGTACAGAAAGTTGCCATGGTTCTCAGACACATTATGAATACATATTGCTCAAAAGCTCAAGTACGGATTACTTTCCTTTGTGTGTGTGTGTGTGTGTGTGTGTTAATGCATATGTGTATGTATGGAGATGAGATGTTGGCGTTAGATGTCTTCCTCAACCACCTCAGCCTTAGTTTTTCAGACAGTCTTTCATTGTATATGCAGCTCACTGATTTGGCAAGGCTGGGCAAAACACTCCCAGGATCTGCCTGTCTCTTGCCCCAGCAATGGGGTTAGAAAATAGAAGCATGCTGCTGGGTGCTAGGGATGTGAATTCAGGTCCTCAGGCTCCCTCAGCAAGCACTTTACTGTGTTATCTACCCACGCCCGGATTGCTTTTCTTTACTCTTTACCAATTAACTTGTATTGTTTCTGCTGGAAAAATTGTTGTATGAAAACTACTTCCATAACAACATAAAAAAAAAAAAACACCAAGTTTGTTTCTGCTCAGTTTCTAAACAGAAGAAAAGAAATATTCAATTTTATCAAATAACTTTGCATCCATCAAGTGATAAGCTTTTCCTCTTTGGTAATATAATTAGTTGCATTATCAAGAGTATTCTTATGTTAAAACACCTCATTCCATCTTTCTGGATATAAAAATCTTCTTAGTCAAAATATGGTATTCCTATTCCTTTCAAAGCATCAGAACACATTACAGAGTAAACCCATTTATGTTTAATAAACTTATAAAACTGTCTTTCTATATTACATATATAATTCTATTTTTAAAGAATCAATAAAGATATATGCCTATGTTTTAAAATATGAACTCCAAGGGCAGAAAACTAAAAAGCCCTTATAATTTTCTCCTATGTTGTTTCAATTTTATTTTTGCGCAAGACAATATTGATATATAATTTGCGAAAATATTTTGAAATTGCTATGTGAAATTCCTAAAAGACTATTTAACAAAAAACTAATTTTAGGTTAATGACTTATACACTAAAGAATTAAGATAGACATGGTAACATTATCAAAGCACCAGCCTTTTAATATTCAATGTTAAAATATATTTATTTGGATTTGAAATTTACTTTCATTTTCAAATAAAATTTAAGGTTTAACATTACATAAAAAGGAGAGAGCAGATTTCGTTTTCACTTTCTGTTGTAACATCAGACAAAAATTTCTCACAATTCACAGATCTAGACTGATTGTTATATACATATACATACAGTTTTTAAATGGACACACACACACACACACACACACACACACACACACACACACATACACATGCACGCATACATGGAATGCATACATTAAAGAAGGCTCTAATTAGGATTAAACTTGCAGTGCACACGTTGAAGAGCCTTGAGGTGGAGTGCAAGAAATGTATTTCCACAGCAGAGGTGGAGAGTGTGAAGCG